CGAGCTAGAAGACATATCAGCTTTATATACGTTGTAACCTCCAGCTTTAGTTTCTGTCGACAAGTAAGCTTATTACCAGTCATTATGGAACGCAATCCAAACGTCCTGTTCACATAAATACTGCAATTTACTGCTCCAGTGGGGAAGAATTGGTCCCTACAGCAGCAGTTACAGTAGTTGCATGCGACACTGTGAAGTGCCTTCAGTACAGAAACCAGATATAATATGGTCCGAAATGTACCTACCACGTTTAAATTGTAATTTTCTCCGCAACAAGTGACTATAATTTGAGGAAAATTTGGTAACATACTGTAGTAATCAAATCGTTTGTATGTCTTTCAGTTCGTTCGATTTTGTACAGTACCACGTAGCGTATATTTATTGTCGAAGAACACATTCGATCATCTGAATTTCTAGAATAGATCAGAAGAAAGTTCCAATTAAGCTATGGCGTAGAATTTGGACTGGATGGGCACGTAATTTCAAACCCCGTGAGGAAGTTTCGCAACACAATATCTATTTTGCACAATCACTTTGAAAGTGAGAGGCCTTCAACAGCCAGGACTGAAAACAATATTCAAAAATTTTGGGGGCAAACACAATAATAAGCACGTCGTGATGTAAATGATTTGATATGTTCATGTGAATGAGATTCTTTTTTCATCGTTCAGGTGAAATAAGGCATTAGAAAAATTTTGGGTCATTCTGTACAATGAAACGCAAAGGACAAGTACTGCAGCGGTCATTACCCCCGAAACTACAGCGTCTGTGTGCATCCATTCACTGCACGGTAGTGGAATCTTGCCTTATATCAATGAATGAGCCTCTTTTGTAATCCAGTACTACTAAACATTGCGTTGTCTTTCTGTATAAATGAACTCTCCGCATAATGCAAGGGTAGTTACAGTTAAAAAATAGTTATATGTAAGCCTGGAACAAATGTAACGACGAGTTCTACACACCAAGACAATTAAGGAAGCCTCCTTTCCGATTTACAAACATTTTTCCTTACTAAAATCTCCGCCGAGGTGGAGATTTTCATTACTTCACCTCAGCTCTCGGAGCGGAAATTTAATCGCAAAAGCTCATGACTCCTGTTTTAAATTTGCTGTTGCAGAAAACTTGCTGGCAGAGGCGTATAGTCTCTTACTGTTGCCACTCCCATGCCCATAATTGAGGTAAATATCCGTCATTTCTAGTAATATTTGGAGTTGATTTTCTGACCTTGCTTGAGCGTAAGATTTTAGGTTATGTTCACGTTCGAAAAAAGGTGCTAATAGGGTTGAATTTCTGGGTTTGTTTCAGCCTTTTAGTAGAATGAATTTATAGGATCCGTAGTATATGTTTTGTCCGACTTGTAAGCAAATATAAAATTTAATGAGTAATATTGTCCCAGTTTTCACCAAATTTGATACGGACCCACTTAACAAAGAGGAACTTGCCTATGTTAGAAAGTGTGAAGGCCATAAACCTAAAACGAGTCCTGCAAGTTTCGAAATACGTTGCGACTGCTTTACTCCATGACGAAGGTGAATCTACTGTTAAGAGGACCTGCAGATCTGCAGCCACCTACTTAGCCGTGTACAAGAATAAAGTGCGAAATACGAAACATATAAATAATTCTATACTACAGGTGCAATGGCACCCCAGAAGTGAACTATATTCTACGAGTGCTGGATTACGTGCCAGAGTAGACCGCGATCATTGATTCACTCACTGAATACGACTGACGAGTAACCTGCTCGTTTGCGTGCACTATACGCTACATTCAAGTTTTCGACTTCCTCGAAACTGAAGACGACTGTCACCCTGTTCGTTTGCGTGCACTATACAGCTACATTCAAGTTTTCGACTTCCTCGATAGGTTGTAGCAATCGAATTGACCCTCGCTTTTAAATCGATTGCATCCTTGAGTAACTTCCGAGCAATAAATTACGTCATTTATATTTGATGTATTTTTGTGTGGATTAATTTGTATGAGGACGTAAAATGGGAAAATCTTCACGGGACAAACGTGATGTTTTTTACCGACTTGCAAAAGAGGGTAGTTTCAGGGCAAGAAGCGCATATAAATTGATCCAAATAGACGAAGAATTCGATTTGTTTACCGGTGAGTATTCCACTTCAGGATAAGGAGATTGATGTTGACCACTATTTTCCTCACAGACTTACTTTATTAAATATAGATATTGGTGTGACTTTCCTTTGCTATTACCGTTAACGTTCTTTAAGATGAATTGATTCGTGTCTGTTCTAGTGACGGCAAATTATACACAAATATCAGTGATAGGTTAGGGCAATTGTCTCCAGAATACGTAGGCTATGTTTAGTAATACCGTTATGTTATAATATTTTCAGTTACACTAATAACCACATTTTATCATTAGATACTACTGATAAAGATTTCTGCTCTGCACTTGACACAAGCTGAAAATAAAAATAGCCAGGTATTAAATGTTAACCTTTTGCAGGCGAAGCTCATCAAAATAATATTTAAACATGTAAACTCCACCTCAGAGAAAATACAACACGTATGCATTACAAAGATCTGTTTGTTTTTATTGTTTAAGGAAATGGTCACTATTTACTCTTGAAACCAATAAGTATACTCAGCATGTAAAATGCAGAACTGGTCATTAAAACAGGTGATGCATATCATTACCAGTGGGTTTGAAATAGTTAACCAACATAAAGACCTATTCAAAACTAAACCAAATTTTACTTATAATGAATTCTTCTTGGCTGGTAGCCCGAGAAAAAATTATTATACTTAGCGTCCGTGAATGGTTCAGATCATAAAAATTTTACTTCCTTACCTCACTTCACAACCAACGCAACAATTACAGAAAATTGCACCACTATCTGTAAATTATTTTGCACTGTTGGTATGTGTGTTCTGAGGCACATGACAGAAGTGAGCACTGAAAACAATTCGTGGTGAATCTGAAAGCATGATGAGACAGTGGGTAAAGTTAAAGTGTTCGGATGACATCTCTATTTTAATTGCCCTTTTATTCATACTGAACTTAGATGTTATATATTCTCTTTTACCTTCAGCGCTGGCATTTTGCGATATGCTATATATAATTTTAGACGTTAGTTGATACAATAATATGAGGGTTGTCAGTTAAGACGGAATGTTACGATGTAGTCATGATCACTACTATAATTGCTATTATTGTAAATCATTTAGTTCAGTTTCATGACCAGTCATGGTTTGTTGAATTCCTTTTTTCAGAGCTCTCTTAGTCCTCTTCTTTTCCAGTTACCCGCTGGAATTCCACTAAAATGTCCTTTTTTATTTCCTTTTTATACACAGTAAAATATGCAACTTATGAAGAAAAATAAATTCAAATCATGGCTATTCTTAGCCAAATTCCTACCAGATATTAGTGTGGAATGGTAAAATTGATATGGTGACCCTGATATTTTGAGTTAGTAACATTTCTCACTTATCAATATGATTAACACTAATTATAACCCATCCAGTTCCTCAGTGCCTAATTGCCAATTCCACCTCTTAAATCAGTAGTAATGCATGTGACATAAGAACGGAGGTTTGAGGAACCTCCAGAAAAGTTCTGATATAATATAGTAAAAGGAGGACAAACCATATCTCTTTTTTAAGTGTATGTCATCTAGAAAGTAGCAGCTAACCAGACCTTTTATAGTCTCCTAGAAATAATTAAAGACAATTTATGAGCATTGATGCTGGACATTTTGTGAAAGTTTGTTTCAGACTGACAAAAATTCATTAACGATTTTCTACTTTATAAACTCAAAGGCCTAAGCAGATGATCGATCCCTGTATATACACCAAGATCAGGTAACCTGTTCACGCTGCCCCAGTTGCACCTCTGCCTTCTTTAACCTGCTCAGTCATTACTTTAGTTGGTTTATGAATATTTGATTATTCTATATAAAATGTGCATACAAACAACTGTTCACACTATGTATGATATTAATGCCAAACGCGTTTCAACCTCGACACTTGTTTGTATGCACATTTTATATTCTAATACTCTACACAGTATGCAAGGTTCTAAGATTTGATTATTCATTTGATTATTGATTAGAGCTAGACTGTGGGCACAAACTGTACCTGTACCTTAATCTAAGATTTAACCCGTTTTATGCCAGGAAATAAATATAACTTATTTGAAGTTGTCATCTTTGTACTCTGCACTGTGAGAACTTAAATCCTATAACTTATTTGATCAAGGAATGTATGTGGCATTTTTCATGAACTAATATTTATTGTCAAGTAAAATAAGTTGATAAGCTGTACATACAGCTCTCTCTAACCCTTTCCCCTCCAGTCAACCACCCATATACCATTAAGAATGAACTCTAATACCCCAAAGGAAAAGTGCATCCATGCTCAGACAGGTGATATCTGTCTCAGATATTCCTGGTACATTTGCTATAAACAATTATAATATCAATGATAGTAAATTCTGTTGCTATCTGGTATTGACTGATAATATTTGTGACTTCTTGCACTTGAGTTGCAATTTCTGTGACAGTAACAGACCAAAGTGCAATTTTTGGATAATAATTACTGGAATACTTGGTCTGTTGATAAAGTTTGTCGAGATGGTTCTTGCATTCACTTAGAGCTCTGAAAATAAAATTGGTGGGGCTTTTTATTACATGGAAGTTATGAAGTGTCGTAATGAGAAACAAGTAAAGAAAAGAACAAACAAATCTGTGAAGGTGTTACCCATATTGGAACACAGTTTCCATTTGTATAAAGTGAAGCTTTTGTGGTGACTGAAGTTGATAAAAGACTCCCAGGTTACAAACCATGTCAGATGACTGAATGGTGAATGAACCATATCTTCTGCCAGTGTTTCGAGAACAATCTCTGCTCCTGAGGATGAGGGCAGGTGTTGTTCTCAAAACTTTGGCAGAAGATATGGTTCATTCACTGTCCAGTCACCTAACAAGGCTTGTAACCCAGGAGTCTTTCATCAAAGTACATAGTGAAAACTTGGAATCAGTATTATGCAGCCATGATGTAGATTCAAAATTTAACACATTGCTAAACATCTTAAGAACTTATGAAACAAGTTTTCCCACCAAAACAGAAAGAAGATGGTTTATAATAATGAATGGATAACCAAAGGCATCAAAACATCTTGTAAACATGAACAAAATCTTTACCTAAATATCTGATCTAGTAGCAGCATAATAATGAAAATTCACTACACAAAATATTAACTCAGATCAGATGTATGCATTACAACAGACATAGAAGTCTAATAATGAGTAAAAACAGTCTGGAAAATTGTGAAAAATGAAACAGGTAAACTTTCTACAGAAGAAGAAACCCCATCAATAAAGATAAATGATAATGTAATAAAATGTCCTAAACTCACAGCAAAGTCTTTTAATACAGTCGTAGAAACATTAAGCAATGACGCCAGAAACTCGACAGAGGATGCAACAAAATATCTAGCTGAAGCTAATCCTAAAGCCTTCTCAAATGTTAATCTTAAACCCACAACAGCAATTTAAATTAAAAATATAATAAAGTTTCTCAAATCAAATCATTCCTGAGATTATGATGGAATATCAACAAAGTTACTCAAACGCTGTGCAGACTATATTAGTGCTCCCGTAAGTTACATGTGCAATTAATCAATGGCAATAGGAGCTTTCCCAGAATGCCTTACATGTTCAAAAGTGAGACCTCTATATAAAAAAGGGGAAAAACTTGCATATCCAATTACAGACCAATTTCATTACTGAAGCATTTGTTTATGTAAATTGTTAATTACTACTGACAAAAGTAAAGTTTTCATGGAATTCGAGGTATAGCTGGGCAGTGGTTAAATCATACCTTCATGATAGGAAAGAGCAAGTAGAAATAAAATCATCAGATTCATTCCATACCACCAACTCAAACTGGGGTGTTATAAAACATGGAGTTCATCAAGGTTCAATACTTGGTACTAGTTTTCCTCATATGTCAATGATTTGGCAGCAACCATCAACCCTCAGTCTAAACCTGTACTCTTTGCTTATGTTACTAGTATCATTATTTCACATCTAGAAATTAACTACTTTCAAAATTGCATGAATGATGTCTTTGCTAGCTTGAACAAATGGTTTAAAGCCAATAAACTCACATTAAATTTTGACAAAACAAACTTCATGAAATTTTGTATAAACAACAAAACTTGTAATTTAAACATCAGGTATAACAGTAAACAATTGAAGAATCAGAAGCAATTAAATTTATTTGCTTACAAATTGAAGTTGTCTGTCTTCAGACTCACCGATATGAAAACCTCAAATCCTACACGGCATACAAATTTACAATGAATATATTATCCCAAAATTTAGTTCAGGATGTTTTGCTATTAGAACATTAGTTCCAGTTTGGAAAACAGAAACTTTAAGTTAGTCATTGATCTTAGACATAGTGCTGCAACACAAGAATGCCTCCACCTTGAATAGAACAATGACGCAGCTTAGCGCATGTGGGTGATTCAATGGGATAATACACCAGTTCATGTGCAACATAAACCATAAATTGAATAAAAATTTACTTGGATATTATCCAGCGTCTAGTAAATATAAAACGTAAAACGACGTTTCGGAGATGGGACTCTATCTCTGTCTTCAGGTTCCTACACAGTTGGGCCCACTAGATAGAGCTAATCCCCATCTCCGAAACGTCGTTTTACGTTTTTACGTTTTATATTTACTAGACAATGGATAATATCCAAGTAAATTTTTATTCAATTGACTCTTCACCATCGTCAAGAAGTTTTAGATTTGATATAAACCATAAAGTGTGGTTTATAATCATTACATAAAGGAGCAAGACACCATCTATATACACAGTGTTTTGCAACAACACATTGTTGTATGAACTATGTGGATTTGATGGACTGGTTTTAATACACCTCGCCACTGATGATGACCTCATGGTGTATTGTCTGGCACAGTGTGTTTTAAAGTGTAAACAGTTGGTTTGTATACATGTTTTTATTTGTAGTCTACTTTGCTTACTTCCATTCCATTATGTCACATGGAATAATATTCTGGGGAAATTAAGTAGACAGAGAAAAAATATTTTATGTTCAAAAGCAATCATTAGAATTACTTTATGTAAAATCTTTATTTATTCTATGTGAAAAGTTTATTATAGTTTGAATTTCACTTGTATGTATATATTGTATTTTTATTACTTATTCCACATCCTGTTTTCATTTTACATACCTAGGGATCCAAGGAATGTAATAATTTGTATGTATGTATGCACAAATAATAATAATGAGGGCAAGACCTCACTGGTTAGTGCAAGAATATTAAATTTCTCAAATAGTTCTCTACATGAGGCTGTCCTTTTAATGTCTGCCATCATTCCAATGATTTCCTTTTGGATGTAAAATACGTGTTTGCTGTCTGTCTGTCTGTCTGTTTCTTCAGAAAATAATTCCATTTGCCTAGATGGAATGGACGTGAGTAAAGTAGATTAATTTTAAAGTTACTGTTTTCACGAGTGATGTGACAGTTCTCATAGCAAAGCTTGCTCAGCAGTGGTGACACATTTGTCACCAACTTTTTTGTTTGTAGCTAAATTATATTAGAAAAGTAGTTTTCTATTTTCATGAGTGTTTGTACTTGTTTTACAGTCAGAATGTACATAAATTCATTGCCTTTTAGTCCCTTATGCAGTTATGACTTAATGAGTTGTTTGTTTTGTGCACAGGAATATCTCATGTGGTAGATCTGTGTGCAGCTCCAGGGAGCTGGAGTCAAGTTGTGTCACAGAAATTAGTGTAAGTGTTAATAACATATAGTATAGTGACTACAACACTGGCCTTAAGTAGGAGACCCAGATAAAAGTTTCACTTTGTTGGCTAGGAGTGAGAAATTTTACTCACAATAGAAACAAAAACAACATCTGAGTTAAAAATGGCATTTCATTTATTATGGTATGAAATTGGACTTGTCTTATTTTGTTATTCTGCATTTTTGAAATCCTTTTTTGTTAAAGTGCAGATTACAGTTTAGTCTTGCCTCATGCTATATTGAGCATGTTATGAAAAGGATATTTTTTAGGGAAGTAGACATTGTGCAAATGTTACTCCAATGTTTTGTGATCAGTGGACATGGATCTACTTTAGTGAGGTACTGTGTAATACATTTATAGTCCATTTTATCATATATCTGCCCATCTTGAAGCTTTCCTTTCTGACCATATGGCTGCAGTCAACATTATTCTTATCTGTGGTATTGTTTTTTCATGCAATATTAATATGCCTTAAATTGTTCTTGTGTTTTAATAACAGTGAGCAACTTTCTTGCTCAAGTACTTGGCCCCCAGTGTTTAGAGGTGGTTACTATGTTTATATGGAATTTGTGCAAGCCTGCTTGTTGCCCCTTTAACTTGTTTCACTGCCTACTGAAGAAAAAGGTCTGTCTGTAATTCTTAGAAGGATGGTTTTATTTTATAGATCAGACAAAAATGTGGATGAGAAAGATGTGAAAATTGTGGCTGTGGATTTGCAAGCAATGGCTCCTCTGCCAGGAGTTGTGCAAATTCAGGGTGATATCACGAAGAAGGAGACTGCTCAGGCCATTATAGAACACTTTGAGGGAAAGTCTGCCCAGCTTGTTTTGTGTGATGGAGCACCTGATGGTAACCAGTTTGTTTCAAAATGTTACTATATTGTGTTTTACTGAAGTTCAAATTAAGTCTTAAGTGTTATAGATGCTGATATGTCTTGGTTTTTTTGGTGAAAGTATAGAATACAGAGGTAAGTCAGCCTAATGTAACATAACCTAACTTAGCATAGTCTAATTTAATCTAATCTAACCTAGCTGGGCAGAAACACTGGAATAAATATCACCCTGAAAAGTATTGCTTAGCCATTTTGCTTGTAGGTGCCTTTGATACACTGATTAATATTTATGATCCTCTCACCTGAGACATAACAATTAATTAAATATATATTTTTGCACTACTTCACAATTTTTTGAATGTTACAAAATTTGGAAAACAGCTCTGCATGTTAATTCTTCATTAGCATGAAAGAATTGTTAACAAAGCCTTAAAAAGAATAAAAGCAAATTACTAACTGCTGCACATGACTTTGCATTGATGGTTAACCCCTTCCCTGATTATTTTTTCTTAAAATATGATGCCAATGTAATATTTTTTATTTCATGTTTAGAATATACCCACAATAATTAAATTATCGATACGTGTTTTGATGAAAAGTGTTCATCATACTGTATGAAATGTTCATATTATTGTAATCATTATTATCCCAAATTACATTGGGTCGCCTTCTACTGTTTGTAAAAATTAACTTCTTCACAATCACAGCACACCAATGACAGCCAACCTAGCACAGAAACTTATGACACATGGGTCATTTCATGTGAAGTCAACAAATGAATGTGGTAACACTGTCACAGAATTCAGTGACACTTGTCAGTGTTAATTGTGATTGCTTATGAAGTAGTACACAAGCATACTGCTTCTCTGATATCACCATTTTACAGATATCAATTTTCAGGAACTAAGCACAGAAGAAAAACGTCACACATTCTTTTCTCACAAAGTGAACAAGACAGTAACTGGAACCTTTGTTTAAGAAGATGGCTGTCTTCTGGGTTGTTGTGCCATGCAGTCTGGTAGAAGTTTACCAACATTTTAGATGTCCTTGCTGTTTCCATCATCAGGGAAATCATCAACCCAGAAGACAGCTATCTTCATACTCACCACTGTGAAAACCTCAGATACAACCTTTGATTAGTTTCAGATTATTTTACCCTGATATTGTACATGTATGTGAATACTTTTTAGACATTTACTTGACTTTTGATAGCCTATATGAGTATGTATTTTTATTGTAACTTAAAAATGAACATTTATGATGTCACGTATCTCACGACTGTCAACAGATGCAAGTATGAATCTACTGGCACACACATCATCACCTAAATCGTGACTCTTAAGAGTATTAATATTGAAGTTGCAGCTTAAGGCAGTCCTCAGATAATTGAGGTAAACTAAGATGCAGTTTCATTATATTGTCCATTTCCATACCTCATTTACTCTGGTGTGACAGGTCACAAGTATGTCACTTGTGCCAAAGATATGCTGACATGTAGTAAACATTTTGCAGTCTGCCAGAAAAATCCTAACGCAGGTAAGAATTTACGAAGGAAATTGAAACTTGGCAGAATCACCAGTCATGTCTTTGAATGTTCAATACAGGCACCAGCATCAATGTTGCCAGAGTACACAAAATCCTGGCCCACCTATCACTGCTTCCTACACCACCACATCTATCATCCTCATACACTCTATGGTGCAGGAAATTCTTTGAAAAGTCTATTGTTTACTCGGCTTGCATAAGAATAGCCAACTTTCTTTATGGAACCCAAGGTTTATCTCCGTGTTCCCAAAAGCCTGCCACTGAACTCTATCCTGAGCTGGCTGCATCCAGTTCATGTATCATCCTACAAAATTTAATTTTCTTTTGTGAATTCTTGCCTGGATTAAGATTTTTATGGCAACCTGCAAAACAAGGCTGATGTGCCCACATGTTATATTAGAGATAGGGTTATTTCAAAGTAACATAGGAGTGCAGTGCTGAAGTTTGAGTGTATTATTTACTATATGTCAATACATCTCTGGTGTAAATGGAAAGAATGTGTGAGCTCTCAGAACTGTGTAAATGAAGTATAAACATGTTGTATATGCACACAGGTTGGTACACATGTAGATGTAAGGTGTTTTATTTACTGCAAATTATGATATTTTGAACAGAAATGTGTATTGTGTATTGCTAGGACATTCACTTTAAACACTACATTAGTTTAAGCAACACAAGTGCAAGCCAAAAGCAAGAGACATAAGACTCTTCCACATACCTTACTAGCTTAGATATAAAGCAGACAGGCTGATCCCATGATGCAACCCTTGAAGAAAGAGGGAATATAGTACACCCAACAATAAGTGTGGCAAGAAAAAAATGTATTCAGTGTGCTGAAACATTTTAACCACATACTAATGAACCTATAAGCTGTGCTTGGCTCTTGGAAGGGTTTGTCATCCTCCCCTAATAGAAAAACAGTGATTTCAACTTTTAGATTCAAACTGTGAAAATCAATTAAGCCTACCACTCACAGGTAAGGAGTGCAACTGCCATTTCCATCCAGTGTCTCTTTCTTCAATAAATATTACTTAATGTTATAACTGTTGTCACGCCACACCTACATCCCAGAACATGCTACTGCCTGATACCTCACCTGATTGTATTTGCATTAATTATGGGGTTACAACAAAAATAAACATTTTTCACAGAATCAAAAATTTGTTTCTTATATGACCTCAATTATGTGAGGAATGCCTGAAACTGCAGTTTCGGTTTTTATACTGTTGACAGTCCTCCTTTAGGTGGTAAAGTGTTTAAGTTTTGACCAATAATGCACCACGAAATTGGCTCCCTGTAGCAGTAAGACAAATATTCCCTAAAGGTACCCTTATATTTTATGATGTGAGGGTAAAAGCATGCAGATGCAACTAATCATTTTTGAGTTACAGCAGGGATAAATTACATAGCAACTGTTTCTGTGCAGGTGTATCTTCAAAGATAATTAACAAAATGCTTATGGTAACTCTGAAGAACACTACAATTTTGCATACAAAGTTATACAGAATTTGGTGATAATAACCGCCACTTATTTTTCTGAAATTTTTTTCATTGATCTACATGTTAACAGAAGCGTGAATGTCTTTGTTTTCTTGTTTGTATATAGTCCAGCATACATATATATATATATATATATATATAAAAACACATAAAAACACATAAAAACACATGGCTTATGAAATCACAGCAGTCTGTCATACATCTAGGGTCTGATATATTTTTATATATTTTATTCATGACCTGAATTAATTTGGTTTAGTAATAACGGACAGAAGACAAATATATTTCCCTAAAAATCATCAACAGAGATGTCTTAAAAAGATAATGGCATCAGTTAAGGAAGGTTTAGACTTTAAATAGGAAAAGTTTTAGCAATGTGGCAGAATCGGCGGCTTCTAGTGGGAAGTCTTTTGTAGCAGAATTTGAGCTGAGCTTACATTTTAAATTAACTTGTATTGAGATAAATACAGGAAGTTGAGGTGAACTGGCCATGTAGCATGCACAAATGCAATATAATTTTGGTTAAGAAACCTTGGCATAAATGCAGCTTTGGAGATAAACTTTCATGGGAGGGTGAGGGATCTCAGGGATACAGATTTTTATCCATTTTTTTACAAAGTGCACACAGATAAATGCATTATAAGGGAGGTTTCATCTATCTGTATACAACTTTCAAAACTGCTGAACATGTTCTCAAGAAGGACTGTACTAAAAGTTTTATGTTGAAATTTATCAGGCAATTTAATTTTTGGTTTGTGTATAGAGCTGAGATTAAACTTTTTCAGTTTTTCAAAAAATGGCTCATATTTTTAAAAAATTGGTACATGGAATAAAATATGGATACCATTAAAATGTACAATGTTTATTGTAAATATGCTGAATACTTAATGAAATAAAGAATAGCAAGGATAAATATTTTTTGACTACATTGTGATGTTTATAGTGCAGTTAGGTTTGCAACAACGAACTTCACATTACAAACTAACCATGAATTTATTTGGAATGTGTGTGTACTCCTTTGGAGCACCTTTTCATTCTTTGTAATATGTACATCACATTGAAGTGTGCCAGAGTCTTAATGGTATGTTCTTATGATGACAATGATCAGCTTTCAGGTTACATATGAGTGGCATATTTCTTGAAGAGTGAATAATTATTGATTGCTTGTGTTACATGGAATTTGTTTCATAGAATGATAATACCGACAGAAGCTGGCAGTAGTCTGACCTCTGTGTTTTGCAGTAACAGGACTGCCTGACTTTGATGAATACATTCAAGCACAGTTACTGCTGGCTGCTTTCAATATTTCGACAAACGTGCTGGTTCCAGGAGGCACATTCCTAGCAAAGTTGTTTTGTGGCAAGGACGTTCTGGTCCTTTTATCTCACCTTCAGACGTTCTTCAAAGAAGTCATTGTCGTTAAGCCACATACTTCACGCAACTCAAGCATAGGTACTGGAATTAATTTACCTAATTTATTGCAACAAAGTGTCTTGAAGATTCAGTTAAAAATTTATGAGTACATGTAATCTGTTGTATTTGCTTTTTGTGTACTGATAATTGTTGCCCCACAATGCACATACAGATTGTCACAAATTATGATAAACAGTATTATTTTGAAACTTACATTTGTTGTTCACCAATATTTTATGTGCATTTTTTGTATAAAGTGCATAAAATGATTTGGTGCGTACAAGTTAATATGAAACCAAAATTGAAAACCAAATTTTTCAAAAATGGCTGTTGCGCAGAATATAACTATATGGCATAAATAAGCTGATCAGAGCTAAAGTGGTGTGTCTAGAAAGGTGTAGGAGTTTTTTAGGTATATGTTTTCATTTTATTTACTGTAATGACTGAAAATATATTTGTGCTGCATGAAATAAAATATCCTAGCAAGCAATACCTAATTACCCTACATTTTTCATTTGGTATTAATGACATACCAAATTCTGTACATCATGAAATGAATTTGACTTACAGCCTTCTAGGTCTGAGGAGTTCAAATATAGTTTCTCTTTTACCCTGTGTTTTATTTATTTTAAAAATTTCTCAGTATGATGGACACATACTGAAGTGCAAAGAAAAATCAATTCTGCAGTATTGGATACAATAGTTGCAACAGCCAATTTACCTCCATAATAAGTTAATATCAAGAGCTTGGGTAGCTTAGTGAGTATCACTATATAGGCTACAGGCTAGATAACTTGGGTTTGATGCCTAGAAGGGGCATGTCATTTTTCCCTTAGCTACTGTGTCCATCCATACCAGGTTCATTGCCCACTCAGCCTCCTATCCAGTAGATACCAGGGGTTGTTTGGCTGGGGATAAAGTGAATGGGGAATAAAGCACGCTACTCTGCTACATAGTGGGGTGGTGCTTAATTAGTATCAAGGACAGCTTTATCTTTATAAATGAACATCAGATCCAGTGAAGTATGCAAGATAAAGAACAAACTGGGAAAATATGTGTACTCAATTAGAATATCCCTTCTTGCTCCTGTTCATAGAGGTTTGGTGGATTTCATTCCTCATTTTACTCTGTGTTGTTATGTTGGCAAGAGGCAAGTAAAGGCTAGTGAAACCAAAATTCTGTTTGTTAAACTTAAATTTCTATTTATTTTTATTTTATAGTAAATCCACTTATGCAGGGCTTTTGTAATGTAGCTGTACAACTTCAACAATTTGTAATTTCTGTATATTCATGAAAATGAAGCAATACTTCAAGTTATTGATAGGCTACAAATTTTCAGCATGGGTGCCAGAGGTTATTTGGCAAACATCCCTCCAAGATTCTAGCTACTGCCACACTTTCTACAGTGTTTCAGGGGTGACTTATGTTACAGTAGCATTGATCCATTGATCCTGGTTTTCAGTTCATCCACATTCCATGGTAATGGTTTTTGATAGACTTGATCTTCCACAAAACCCAATTCTAGTAACCACAGAGGCCAATGAATGGCATGAGCTAGACCAATTCACTTGTCTGGGAAGTGAAGTACTGATCCAGACAGTCCTTCACTCCCCACCAATAATGTGGAGTTGTGTCATGTTCATCATTGCTGACTTGTGGTAGCAGAAAACTCATGAATATATTGAGATAAATCCAGTGATGGTTTCTTCAAAAAATAAAGGACAAACATCACATACTCAACATCCATTATGCACAAAATTAGTTGCCATTCATACACAGTTGTGTTGGAAGGATTTTTGTTGTAATGTAATGTGTGCAAATCTTCTTTGGATATATTGCTGACCGTGTTTCTGCAAACCAAAATACACATTGTGCTCTCTCTGTATTTGTTAATTCTGTCAGTTTTGTTGATGTTACAGCAGAGCCACTGGTGGGCACAGGCTCAAATACGAATGTTAAACAAGGACTTCAGGATTATGTCTGTGTTTCTGTGCCACTATTTTTCCTTTTTACTTTCTATTCAAACTGCTATCAGCATTAAAGTTGTACAACTACTTTATAATAACCCTTTACATTGATAGGAAGAGGGATGACAATAAATATGAAATTTGAAATTGTTGCTAATTTGATGTTCATTTTATCAATACATTACATGTTTATTTGGATGGAGACTAGATAACGTGATTTTTTGGTTTGTGTGGTTTTTCCTGCCAGCTCTAAAGCTATGTACTTGTATCTGTATCTTTTGTTCACATATAAGGTGAAAAATAGTCATGCAATTTCTATTAAAATATTTATTGGTGGTTGCAATTTGATTGGATAAAAAACACACAGTATTACTGTGACTGTACAGTATCTCACACAGGTGACATCTTGTAACCTGCTCATTCTGGGCTGTCATTTGTTTTCAAACAGTCGAATTGCAAAGATGTCTTTTTTACAAGTGCAGCGAATGTTCATTGTTGAGCACTACCTGGCATCTCGTTCTTACTTAACTTGCCAGGGATACATTTCCTTTTCTCCTGTGCCAAAATATGATGGTATCTCATCTGGTGAACCGTTTCCCTGATGTGGGAAGCATTAAGGACAGAAACTGCTTTGATTGACCTTCACTGTTAATGCATGCATTGTTGAATGTGGTGGACATTTCTAATACTTAATATAACATTATGTTTTGTTTTCTTATTTCCCTGTAGTTTATTTCTTGACTAATAAAACATGTGTTTTAGCTAGTGTAGCTAAATCAGTATAGTGACTGACTATGGCCTGGATGACCGGGGTTCAATCCCTGGCAAGGGTGAGGATTTTTCCTCTAATCTCTGCTTCCATACTGGCTCTGGTGCTCACCCGGCCTTCTGTCCAATGGTTACTGGGGTCTTTTCCCAGGCATAAAGCACAAATGGGGCATGACACTGATCACTCACCCCTGTCTAATACTGAGGTTAAGAATGAGTAGGAGCTATACCTCCTCTCCCCCCCAAGCGCATACATGGCATGTAACTCTTTTTATTGGAACACGTGTTAGGAATGAACTTTCCAATGTACAATCTATAAACAGTCCTAATGTACAGTAATATTATTTTATGCTACATTTGACACAACATTCTTAACATAAACTAATATCTATTATAAAGGCATCATTTGGAAGAAATTTAGGGTTTTTTCTCCTATATTCATTTAACGTATTTGAGGGAAGTGGTGCATTCACGGCTTCCATGTTCTTCATGGCATTAGTTGTGGTAATTGATTACTGGAAAAAGATTATAAAAGCTGAAATATATTAATGCCTCATTTCTTTCAATATTGAAATGTTTTAGTTTCCAGTGGTTTATTTTTATGGGCTGTATCATTTCTCTGTTATTCATTGATAGTTGCTTAATGTAATTAGATACAGTTCTTATGGTTTATTTCAGAGTCATTTGTGCTTTGCAAGACTTACTGCCCTCCACCTCAGTATGTGCCAAGTATGGATAAGCCAGTACTGTATTTGACAGATCTTCCTATACAGAAGTATCCACTCGTCCATTTCAAAGCATGTGGAAATGAAATTGGTTATGACTCAGACACTAATTATCCATTGCAGGTATGTAGTAATCATTTACTTATTAAACATGCATTGGAAATGATTAGGCACCATGTATTAATCAAACCGTGAAGATGTGGGTTGTCATGTTGACATTACTTAGGTCTTCTTCCTTCATTCCATGTTCAGTATGGTGAGTGGTTGTGTTAGTATGCTAGTAACATATTTTGCACAATTTACGTGTTCTTATAAATAAACCAATAGTATTTCTTATTAAATTGACAGCATCTGACTTAAAATTATGTAGTTTTAATCTGTAATGTAGGAAAATTCTTCTGAAAGGTTGAGCTAGAACAGTTACTATCTGCGGTAGAAAATGAAATGAAGATAAATCCAGGTAAAAGTAAAACAGTCAGCTTCAATAGAGCTAGGGTGAAGGATAGGCTGAGGTACTTTTTTGGGGATAAATTAATTCCAGAGGCAAATAGCTTTAAGTACTTAGGAATACTTATTTGCAGTGATCTGAGCTGGGCAGATCATGTAAATTATACACTAATTAAAGCATGGAAGGCTCTCCATTTTGTAATGTGTATACTAAAAAAGGGAAATAACAATACGAAACGTTTAGCTTATACGTCGCTAGTGAGACCGATACTTCAATATGGAGCTGTGTGTTGGGACCCTTACAGGGAAGGGCAGGTAAGAGCCCTAAATCGGGTGCAGAAGAGAGCGGCTAAATTTGCAAAATACACTAACGAATCTGGTTGAGAAACATTGGCACAGCGTAGATTGATAGCCCGAATGTGCGCCCTTTTCAAAGCATACACGGGAGGCCGGGCTTGGAAAACGATAGAGGATAGATTACTAAAGCCATGCTACCTGGGCAGGGACGATCATACTCGGAAAATTAGGACTAGGAAACAGAACGGATGTAGGCAAATATTCCTTTGTAAATAGGACCATAAGAAGCTGGAACCAATTACCTCCAGGCGTGTTAGAGTCTTTCCCCTGTAAATTAGGCACCTTTAGAAAGAGGGTCAGAAAAGTAGTTACAAGCAAGAGGTTATTAGGTGGGGATTAGATGGTGATAAGGGAAGTGAAGTGTCTTAGTCTCCAAGTGATGACGGGCTGAAGTTCTTTGGGATAAAATTTTCATGTACTGAGGGTGGACATATTCTACTCTAAGTATTGTGATTAATTAGTGGATGTGTGTTTTTGTATTGTGTGTCAGTTGTTTTATTTTGAGTGTGGTGTGTTGTATTGTTGTGTCTCAATGTTTTGTTGTGTGAGTGCATCATTTCATGATGTATGTAATTCATTACTGTTATTGTCTTATGTCTAGGTGGTATTAATTTTTAAGTTAAGTACTTTAGGTTAGATGGTTTTGTAATCTTATGAGTTGTTTTATTTTGAGTGGGATGTGTTGTTTTGTTGTGTCTTATTGTTTTGGTTGTCTCTTATGTTTTTCTTTTATTGTTTTGTTCTGTCTCATTGTGTTGATGTAACTCATTGTTTTGTTGTGTGTGTGCTGCTTAGGCAGAGAGATTATTATATATTAGCAGCAGGCCATTATGAATGGAAAGAAAATGGTTGTAACATTGGTAGTTTGTGAGTAATTTTTTTATATCCAAGAGGAACTACAACCCTTCATTATAGTCCAAACCCATGTGTCCAGTGTATTCGAATACTTTGCAGAAGGCTTATGCTATCATCTGGTTCATTTTTGTATCCTTCGGAGATTTCCTTTCTGTTTACTGTTTAATATTTTCTCTGTGGCTTACCCCACACTCAGGTGCCAGTTGTACTACCCACTGCCTGTCCATATGCAGCTGTGACTGAATGAAACCCTTTACTTGCTCAGGGTGGTAGATTCTCCTGTGTGCTATTCATCTGTTGTTTATTTAAGGATGCTGTCAGGAACTCAGATTATACGGTAGCAAATGATGGGATGTCTGACAGAGAAATGCAACTGGTTCTGTCTGATCAGTCTGTGTCTAGGGTCTACAGGCTTCTTGGCAAGAACTACAGAAAACTATTCCCACTATGGACAGACAGTGTTCCATGAATTTGAGGTCCCTGTTGTTCCAACACATTTGTACCAGTTGTGTGGAGGGTACCTGTTCAAGCCTCTGTCCCAAGCTCTGTGCAGTGCTTTATATGTAAAAAGAAATGGATATAATTATCATTGCTGTTTGTCAGTTATTGTGTGTGGCCATTTCAGTTACAGTGGTCATGGTGAAGCCTCATGTCTGAAACCTCCTCACTGTGTCAATTGTGGTGGCACCCATTCTTGAGGTGACAGGAAATGCTGGTGATTATAAATGAGAAAGATACACAAAAATTAAAAGTAAACGAAAGCCTTAGTTACATTTCCAGTAGGCCAAGAGCGATATCTTTAACTCATTTTGATGACCACTAATAAATAATGTCTCTACTTTGGCAACCATCTAATTTTGATACAGTTACTCAACTCATGGACTGAGGCTTACATTGATACTAGCTTTTGAAGCTACACGTCTCCAGTCAAGAAAATGGAAGCATTCTATACACTGGAAACCATGCCAACCACCAAAGCTGGTGTCACCTAGTAAGAAAGTACGTTCCTGGTCTTGCTGAGGTACCAGGAGGTGTTCTAGTTCATCTCCCTGAAGTTTAGTATCCACATTGACACGAGGTGGCTTCCGATCCAACAATTTATATTCACTGCAGGAATCAAAGACCCCCCAGCTACCCACCTCATGGTAAACATAGACCAGTGAAGAAACTGTTACCAGTGAAAGTGCTGTTGCCCAACTTTTCTAACTCACAGCTGGGCTTGCTGCAGCAGAATGCTAATGGACTTCATGCTCTAGTTTAGTATTGTAACACTGCTGTAATCTGTCTCTAGGAAGCTCTGTCCTTCCCATACATTTGACCTTTGTGGTTTTATGGTGTGCTATTATAACCCACTTGACACTGAAAGGGCCATTGGAGGGAAGGCAATGTTATATTTAGTTTAGGACTGCATTTGCTCCTCTGCAGTCCATCTCCGGTCTCAGTTACAGGCCTTTGTGGTCTGCGTACATCTACCCATTGTAACATTTACACTTTCTTACATCTGTATCCCACAGAGTACCAATAGTCCAAGTTGACATGACTTATTCCTTATCACAGTTACCTCCACGTTTATTGTACTTGGGGATTTTAATTCCAAAAATGTGCTATTTGGGTCAGTCCTTGGAGATGGAAACAAGATGGTTTTAGATATCTGAACTGGGTTAAATCTAATTATGCTGAACGCAAGCCACCATAGTCTTGGATTAGGGACTATTTCTACTCTAGACTTTACATTCTGTAATCCACCTCATATGGTCCATTTTTCCTGAAAAACATGATAGTAGCCACTATGCTGTAAATATTCATGCTTCCATTTCATGTCCTAATGCACCCTGGCATCTGAAGTGAGTCATCAAACATGTTAACTGGGTGGATTTCTCTGAGTCAATGATTATTGAGGAACATGAATTCATCAGACCTTGTTGCATGTCTGTTCCTCAGGAGTTTGATCTCATCTGCCACACTGTACTCAGAAAATAACTCTTCAGTCCTTCCAGTCCCACCTCACACTAGTATTCTCCTTGTGGAGGAATATTCTCGTCTATGGTTATACTGTAAAATTGGTGACTCAATAACATCGTGCCTCACATGGTGCTGTATTTTACCCCACCCTCTTCAACTGCTCCAAATTAAAGTCTGGTAGAAACTGAGAGATGATCAGAACTGTGGTGATGCAGGCATTAGGCACATCTTAAATGTCAATCAGTTTCTACCAGACTATGCAGTAGAGCATGCCAGAAGACAGGTCATCTCCATACTTGCCACAATGAGAACCTGAAGTAACACATTTTTACGTTTTATCTGACAGGGTGCCAAAATCTTTTTCATTGGTTTTAGTGTCCCCTGTTAGCACTTATTTCTTTACCAGTCTTGCGGCTTTACAGCCTGGCATATTTTTTACATAGAAAAATTAATTTTGTAATGTTCTTAGTTTTGACACCAATCCTTCAGTCACACCTGTACGCAGCTTGGCCTGTGGTCATTTGTGTTTTAGTGAACTGTCCAGCTATGTGTACCTTGGGAAGCTGGTGAATCTGATCTCATTTTGTGGCACAAATGTTCATCTTAAGTAGTAGATTGCCACAAATAGCCTTAGAAGGTTATGCTAGCCTAAACTTACAACATTAACTTCTTTTTAACTCTTGTACATGCAGGAATACTTCCCTTAATGCCAGGTAATTTATTATCTTGCCTTATTTTCCAGTGTTTGTTTCTTGGGAGAGTTGACACTGTCAGTTGTTGTTGTTTTTTTTTTTGGCGGGGGGGGGGTGTTTGTGGTAAAAGCTTGTTTTGTACTCCCTGGCTGTTACCACATATTATTGTATATATTTGTTCATCACCATATATTACTATAATTTCTGTTATTATATTTATTACATATTCAGAATATATATTTTTTGTTTCTGTTGATCAAGCTTCAACTTATTTTGTGCCTTACTTAATGGAGCTGGCCCTATTAGTTACATGTCCTGCTTCTTTGTAATATGGCAAAGTATAATTTTTGTATTTAAGGAATTAAGTGTTCTCAATTTTGTATTTTGTACTGCTCTTTGGGAGCCGGGATAGCTCAGTCAGTATAGTGACTAGCTACGGGCTGGGCTATCGGGGTTCAATCCCCTACGGGGGCAGTGGATTTTTCCTCTAGCCTCTGCATCCAGACCAACTCTGGGGCCCACCCAGCCTCCTGTCCAATGGGTATCGGGGTCCTTTCCTGGGGGTAAAGCACAGC